ATTTGTCCTGGCGGCACTCCCCGCCACCGAGACCTTCGGCACAAGTGTGGGGAGGCTTGCAGCGGGAGAGGAGGGCGCCCTGGAAGCCCCAACCCACTTCCAGTGCCGCACCGGGGGAAGTGTGGCCACAGCTCTCAAGGGGCAAGCCACCAGAGCACGAGCAGCCAAGCTGCTGGTGTTGCTAAGCTTGCTGGAGGAGGCTGGCATGCAGAAGTGTGAGTGGCCAGCCAAAAGCAAGCGCCAGGGGATGGATTTGGACCCACGCAAGCCCTTATCTGAGCCAGTGCCTCAGATGTCTTGGGCACCCTGACAGCGTGAGGTTTGCTTTGCTTTCAGTTGATGCGCTTGTCACGAAGAGGGGGTTGATCCCCTTCTCCCTGTTCTGGGCCCGCTGGCACTGCGCGGCGGCAGTACGAGTGCGCGTGCACCCCGGAGACTGGCCGCGCCCCCTGGAAGCACCGCCCCGGAACTGGAAGTGCCGGCGGAAGTACGTACGCCCCGGGGTCGCTGGTGGCTCCCCCAGCCCCCGGGCCCGGCTGCCCGTGTCTGCACCTCGGAGTCTTTTCCGCCTCTGCCCCTGGAGGCAGCCTGAGCAGCGGGTGCAGAGGCAGGGCCGAGGGGACGCTGCGGGAGCAGGAGCCGGGGCTCCGGGCAGGGCACGTCGGGGCCGGGCGCGGGGGGAGGACAGTGTCCCGGGACAGCGCTGATCTGGCCGGGCCGGCAGCGCGCCGTGCCCGTGCCCCTGGGGATGCTCCCCCGGCCGGCGCGCCCGGGCCCGGCTCCCCGTGACCGCGTGTGTGGTCCCCAGGTGGCGGTGAGCGCGGCGTCCGGGGCGGCGGGGGCGGGGTTTGCAGTCAGGCGCGGCCCGGGCGGGAGCGGCGGGAGGGGGCGCCGCGGCGGGAGGAGCGGGGAATGGCCAGGCCGGCGGAGGAGCGGGCACGGAGGGAAAGGGCAGGGCCGGGGGACCAGCCCCGCCGTGTGCCCGGAGAGGATGCCCCGCCCCCCCCGGAGCCCGGGGGGGGGCAGGGCGG